TTTGTGCCTTGATCTGTTTGCACCACTTTCGGCAAACCGAACGTAGAAAAAAACTTCACAAGTGCTTTGACAACAACGGACGCCATAATTTTCCTCAGAGGAATCGCCTCCGGAAACCGTGTAGCGCTACACATTACTGTCAATAAAAACTGATTTCCACTCTTGGTTTTAGGCAAAGGGCCGACACAATCAACAATAACATGTTCAAACGGCTCGCCTACGACTGGGATTGGAACGAGTGGAGCACTTGGAATTGTCTGATTTGGTTTACCCGTTAGCTGACCAATGCGGCAGGTACGGCAAAATTGAGCAACATCAGCTTTTAAACGGGGCCAAAAGAAATGTCTCAAAACCCAGTGATATGTTTTTTTTAATTCCTAAATGGCCCGACAGATCATGGTCATGAGCAAGAGACAAAACTTGCTGTCGGTAACCTTTAGGAATTACAACCTGGTACACAACACTTCATTCAGGCCCATCTGCCATAATAGGAGACCACTTGTGCATCAGCAACCCGTCCTCAACAAAATGTGCAGATTTTCTCTGTTGCGCTCTCTCAACAGGAACAGCAGCAGAGAAACACTTTCGCAGACTTGAATCTTCCCTCTGTGCAGAAACAATTTTCTCACGGGTTACGGGCAACTTAAGGTGACTTGAACTTGCATTGAGCGGAGTTTTTATTACTTTTTCTTCATCAGATGGAAAAATGCCTTCAACAAACATAGGCGCCATAAAGGATGTAGACAAATCATCCACATCTATTTGTCGAGCCTGAGCCCGAGTGACAACACAAGCAGGAAAAGTTTCAGGATACATTTCTGACAACTCATCAGTATGATCTGACAAAACAGGTTTGTCAAACACCTCCAACACGGGAAAAACCCTCCCACCAGCTAGATCATTGCCTAGGATAAACTCCACTCCATTGACAGGTAAACAATCATGAACGCCCACTTTTACAAACCCCGTACACAGCTCGGACTGTAAATGGATTTGGTGTAGCGGAACTTTAACAAGTCCCATCTCTATGCCCTGCACCAGAACGTTACTGCCACAAGAAGTCTGCTCCGAGAACGGCAGTACGCCTGCAACTACAAAGGACTGGGTTGTGCCAGTATCACGGAGCATTTTAACCCTTACCTGTTCTATGGTTTTACCCGAAACAGAAATTAACCCTTCCATTAAAAAAGGTTCGTAACTGCAATCAGGCTTATCTGGCTCAAGTTTTTCAGCATCTACAGTTTTCACAAATCCGACACTTTTAGTTGTAACGCCCTGCTGTTTTCGTTTCAACACAAGACAGTCAGCAATCAGATGGCCAGACTTATGGCAATAAAAACATTCCCTATCCTCTTTAGCCCTGGGCGGACTTGACTTCAGACGTGGCTGGTTAGGCGAGGCAGCGGAAACAGACACAGTTTTATCAGAGCGAACAGGAGTAAACACATTCTTATGTGTCAACACAAACTCGTCCGCGCAAACAGAGGCTGGAAACAAGGATGTCACTTTCTGCTCATTTAAGTACACGACAACGCGCTCCGGTATACAGTTCTTAAACTCTTCTAAAAGGATTAATTCCCGCAGTGTCTTAAAATCAGTTACCTTACTCGACGCGCACCATTTGTCAAATAAGACCCCCTTCTCTCTTGCAAATTCGACAAACGTTTGGCTAGAACTCTTTTTGTGAGTCCTAAGCCGCTGCCTGTAAGCTTCTGGCACTAACTCTTATGCACGCAAGATCGCAGCTTTAACAACGTCGTACTTTAAACTATCCTCTAAGGATAGTGTTGCGCAGACCTCCTGAGCTTTACCAGTCAGCTTACATTGTAACAACAGAGGCCAAACTTCACGTGACCACTTTAGAGCAGAAGCGATACGCTCAAACACACCGAAATATTAATCAACTTCCGTTTCTCGGAACTGCGGCACAAGAGAGACATGTTTACCCACATCAAAATTGGCACCCAGCGCCGCACCCTCTGACGGAGCAACAATGGTCGACTGGGGCGGGACAACTGGAGCAGGTGCACTTCTAGCCGCATTTAACTCCAATTCCCGCATCTTTATCTGCGTCTCTGCCTCAATCTCCCATCTGCAAATTTTTAGACGCAATTCTCTCTCTGCCTGACGCTCCTCTGCCCTCTCCCGCGCGTCCATTTGCACTCGCGCCAAGCGGACCTTCAGTCGCGCATCACCTCCAGACCCAGCCGAGGCCGGAGAAAAAGGTTCAAAGGGCGGCAGAACAGCCTTGGCTTCAGAACCCTCCACCTCGGCCGTTCCGCTCTGCTCCTCCTCCCCAAACTCAGGGCAGGCGTCAGAGGCAAGAGAACCATCCTCACTCGCTTCAGGCAAAACCAGAACACCCAGCTCCACCAGTTTCTTCAACACAATGCTCTTAATCTCTCTCTTGAGCTGCTGCCTCGAAACGGAAATTCGATAATAAGCCGCAATACTAATTAAATCATCTTTTCGACATTTATCGAGCTGCTCCAAAGTAGGTACATTAACGAACGCCTCTAAATCAAAATCTGCCATAGCCTACTTGCATCGACCAACCATCCACGAAGACCAAAAAAAAAAAACCCTGATGCACCACTAACCATGTTAGTATGGTCACTCCGCCGTCACCACCAGCAATAATAAATGTCCCTGGACATTAAACATTGTTTCAAACAGAAAACAAGATTATTTTTCTTACCCCATTGGCAGATTATTTTGCTTGTTTCAAGCAAAAACTCACTTGAATTCGACTTGTTTTTTCTGAAAACAAGACAATAATTTTTACTTGTCTAGAAAATCCTTCTTGATTTAAGAATTTTTAGATATTTTGGCTGGAAACAAGACAAAAGATCTAAGCTAGAAAAGCATTTTTTGCAGTGTAGACACAGAATTAAAGAGTAAGATACCAAAACTAATCTCAGCAAACCAAAACACACACACACAAACACACCGCCGCCCCACGAGGTTCGCGGGAGGACCTTTTAAACCGGCAGGGCAACAGCAGATTGGGCGCAGAGGGCGACGTCACAATTATGACTGGCAGCCGACATGTCCAATCAGGAACCTAAGAGCGAGGCAGCAGGAAAAAGACGAGAGGGTGGGAAGGAAGAAACACATACGCATAGCATGTAACACTCCATTTCATTGTTGTCTAGGTTACCAACCGCCGCTATTCTCCTCTCAAGAATCCGAAGTCTCCGTCCCCTCCGTCCAGGCCTTTATCAAACGCTGTCGACGTACCTGGAAGAGGGTGCGCAATGCATTATGTAAGACAAGAAGGCGCACCTGTCGGGCTGCCGGTCGTCACCGCTCTAAGGCCCCGAGATACATTTGTGGCCAGAGAGTATGGCTATCCACTCGTAACCTACCCCTACAGTCCCCGTCTCGTAAGTTAGCGCCTACATTTATTGGCCCTTTTTCGATTGTTAAGGTACTCAGTCCGGTGGCGGTGCGACTAAGATTGCCTCCTTTTTTAAGACGGGTTCACCCGGTTTTCTACGTCTCGTGTATTAAGCCCATTGTCTGCCCACCCTCCCCCCGTCCCTGTCGAGGGTACGCCCGTCTTTAGAGTCAAGAAGCTGTTGGCTGTCTGCCCTCGGGGAAGGGGTTTCCAGTACTTGGTCGATTGGGAAGGGTATGGCCCGGAGGAGAGAAGCTGGATCCCGGCCCGGGACATTCTGGACCGCTCGCTCATCGAGGACTTCCGTCGTTCTTGCCAGTCTCCTTCCTCATGAGCGCCTGGGGGAGGGGTACTGTCATGAGCCAGGTTTGACTCTAGTTTTCTTTTCTTTTTCGTGCTGTGCTATCCTAGACTCAGCTGTTCGCGATCACAATCAGCGCTCATGCTGATTGGGACTGCACCTGTTCCCTCTTTACGCTGATTTTCCTCTCTGTTTCTCTTTGCGTGTTACAAGGTCTTTTGCCAGATTATTGTGCTTTCATGTCAGTCTCTTGGCTCTCTATTCCGTCATTTGTAGGATCTAGTCATGTCCAGTCCTGCATTATCTATTCGTGTCCTATTGTGTGACTTGGATTTCAGCCCAGTCTCCCAGTTACCCGCTGCCAGCAATTCGCTCTCCTCCGGACACTGTCCTCCGGTCCGTACTGTCTGAGAGGTAGTCACTCCTCGCTCTGCAGCCCGGGGTGGCACCCCGTACACTCAAGTCAAGTCAACCCTTATGTTCCAGTGCTCCTGAGTTAAAGACCAGTTCTGCGAATGCCGAATACGGCCAGTGATCGCAGACTGCCTAAGTTTGTTTTTGTGGAAAATAAATCCTCTGTTTGACTTGCCTTTGCTTCTGGGTCCTTTTATCGTGACATTTACGTTTGCATTTACATTTACATTTATTAATTTACAAACGCTTTTATCCAAAGCAACTTAATTGAGCAATACAACAAGCAAATACAGCAGTACTTTTATCGTTTTAATAATATTTTGTATTCATATTTAGAATTTAAATTTTGTATGATTGTTTTTAGCTTTCATTTTTATATTTTCAAATTTTGTTTTAATTTTAAGTAAAGTTTTAGTAATTTGTGGTTTTATATGGTTTTAGTTTCAGTTAACTATAATAACCCTGGTTATTGTGCTTGTGTTGAAGCCCTGATGGAAGACATTTGAAAGGGCCTTTATTTTTACTTGCATAACAAGCTTCTAATTGCTGATTTTATATGGTATATATGGAGTAGGATTTACTTGAAAAAAAAAACATCAGGAAACTTCACTCAGAAATTTCTAGTAAATTTCACAAAGAAATAGCATAATATTGAAATAAATGTGACTTTTTAAAGTAGAAAGATTGATATATTATTTTCTTGTAAAATGTACTCCAGTAATCTTTGTTTTGATTGGTTTTATTTAACTGTTTTAAAAGTCTTTACAGTGTTGATGGCCGATCAGCTGGACATCTGGCTGGTATAGATGACCTTGGACCTTCTAAAATGGCCCAAAAATCTGTTTTTCCAGTTTCATTTTGCTAATTCTGTTTCTCTTTTATTAGATGCGCCAAAGTTCCAGACCAATCAAACCATCTTCTACTCATGGGAGGGAAACCCAGTGAACATCAGCTGCGACATGAAGTCCAACCCTCCAGCGACTATGCTGTGGAGACGAGACCGGTTTACGATCTCTAGTCAAGGGACCAGCAACATCCGCATTCACACCACAGAGGGCCGATCGCTTCTAGAGGTTCAGCAACTTTACAATAATGCACTTTTAGTAGTTTATTTACATTGCACATTAGGTATATTTGTTTTTCATTTTAGTTAGAGTTTTATTTATTTGTTTATTCATTCATTTATTTTTAATTGTGCATGATCTTTCTGGTGAAGCAGGTTGACCACGGAAATCTTTCTGGTTAAACTAACACATATTTAACTTACACATGAACTGCTACTGTATCTTGTATCTAATATCTACGATATTCTTGCTATCATTTTCTTATTCTCCTGACCTTTGGGTTTGTTTTTATCCACAGGTCACTCCAGTGTCGGACAGGGATTTCGGACGTTACAACTGCACAGCCAGAAACAACATCGGCACTCGATATCAAGAGTTTATATTAGCACAGGCAGGTATGTGTTTACCAATAACACTACACTTCCCTTTAAAAGTCCAGCATGAGATTAAAATACACATTTTCAATTTTTAAACCTGGTCTTTTGAAAGATATTTACAGTTTTGTTTGAACTGTTAACTTAGTTGGCAGTAAAACATAATAACATAATATTTTGGTTGAAAGTTAGGTAGAGTTAGTAGTAGAACGTTGTAGTCCCGTATATTGGGTTAATTGGTATGTCCCGTACGTGACCTCCCTTGTCCCGTTTATTGACTGCTATGCTGATCTATCCACTGACTGATGCAACAGCAGCAGTGCTGATCACGACACTTGAGAATGATCACCGTCCCTCATGCAGAATATGTAGAGGAAGGCTGCGGAATCCTCTGCCGGCTGGTCGCTCCCGCATTACAGTAAGCAGCGGTCGCGCTAATGCCAGTTCCCTTCACCGTCCGTGTTTTGACTTCAGCAAATCAGTTTTGGCGAATGCAAACAATGTTATTATTGTTCATGAGTCCAACATCCAGCCGCGCAAGAAAACATGCAATCTACCTGAGGTCAATAAGGGAAGTCGTCTTTCACTATTGTAATGTTGTTAAATAGAGAAAAACATTTTACATTTAAGTAACTTCTAGCGGATTCTTAACCTTGGACCTTATTCTTGAAACAAAATCACCAATAAAAAAAATGTAGGCCCTAGTCAATCTGTAAGTTGTCTTTAATTGAAAAATATGAATTTTCATTTTATACACAGTTGTGCTCATAAGTTTACACACCCCATGAAGACTATCTAAAATGTTAAAGGGGTCATAGGATGCCCATTTTCCACAAGTTGATATGATTCTTTAGGGTCTTAATGAAAAGTCTGTAACATAGTTTGGTTAAAATGTCTCAATGGTAGAGTAGGAAACACCTTTTTTACCCTGTCAAAAACAGCTCTTTTCAGAGCACACAGTTTTGTAGCATTTTCCTTTAAATGTTAATGAGCTCTGCTGACCCCGCCCCTCTCTTCCGAGCCGCTCTCAGAGAGACTGTTTACTTTAGCTGCATTCATCGTGAAACTTGCTAATGAGCACATTATTAGGAAAGGTGATTTGCAAAGATTCATTACAAAACATTATACTCACTTCTTCTGTAGATAAGGCTGGATCATGAATGATTCGCGCGAACATAGACACATTTAGGCAGATCGGGGGAGCATTCCCTTCAGAAAAAAATGTAATCCACTGCGAGTTCAGCTGCTCAGATGTCAGGAGTAAATGACAGGCATCTGAGATCGGCTCGATTTGAGAAAGGGGAAAACATTTAACGAGATAACAAAAAACACTGGATGGATTTTTATCATTATAGGGTGTTTGTGAGCACACTGCCAACACAACTCGTAAAAGTGCATGTAGCATCCTATGACCCCGTTAATAATTTTCAAAGAATAAGAGGGATCATGAAAATTGCATGTTATTTTTTATTTAGTACTGTCTTGAATAAGCTATTTCACATAACGTATGTTTATATACTCCACAAGACAAAATAATAAATTAATTTATAAAAATTACCCCATTCAAAAGTTTGTACCCTTGCATATGTATGTCGCTTATAAACCACGATTGTCCCGTATTTTCCTTTTCTGAAGTTGACAACCCATAGTTGTAAGAAATGTTTTTGTAACCTTTAAATAACATTCTAATCGCAAGAAAATTGGACATTTCAAAACAATGTTCCCACAACTTTTTTTATAACCTAAATTTGTTACCTGGGTTATTACATATTGTTTGCAAGCTTTTCATGTTGTCTTTAGGGATGCCTCATCTTCTTTTCTCTGTTCTTGTCATTGACCTGTATTAATATCAGAGTGCATTTGGTTTGAGACGAGGTGACATGTTGACCTGAGAAACTGGTTTGTGTTTGATTTAAACCTGTTGTCATATGCTAAGCATATGAAGTTTTCTATAACGATATGTCCTTCCCATCTGGCCACTGCTAATTTAACTGTAGCTAATCTTCTGTAGTGCCATGTGATTTACTAGAGAGCTCACTAATATACCAGAGTACTGTCCCATTTACTGTAGAGCTGCTTAATATGCCATGAAGAACTGCAGTTCACTTCAGAGAGGACTTCATCGAGCCCAAGGGAATACACACACATGCTCAAAAACTCACACGCTCACACACACACTGTTGCAAAATATGAGTTGCAAATATTAAAAATATTGAATTATATATACAGTATATATATATATATATATATATATAT